AAATCGGTCATGAAAACTACGGAAATGAGAAAGGCGTACCTCTGTAACACAAATTCCGTCCGGTCACAAATCTCACTGTTCCCTGTGTCTAAATTCTTGACTCAATGCCATATACAACGAGCATTACAACTCAAGAGTGAACAAAGTTACTAGTTTGAAATTTGAAGAATTTGATTAATCATCCGGCAGAAAACAGCCAGAAATTTGCTTTTAGACTCTATTTTGTCCCATCAATAATCGTAATTGGAGCTCGTTTTCAGAAGTAGACATGCAGTGCACCCTAAACCTTGCAACTTAATTTTACTGCATGGTGTACTGCAGCTGACTTAATATCACTTCTTGAATGTCAGTGAATTCAGATCCAAATTTGTACTGTTACAGCCTCGGAAAGAACTAACGCAGAAATAGGTTTTGGGCGTTATACGATTATCAGATGTATCACTAGTTTGTTATGACACTCCGTCCTATTTCTTCGGTCTTCGCCTGGTGCAGCATCTCTTTAATTCTTTAGGAGCTAATTTTAAAAGTGCATTGATAGTGTCTGAATCTATTTTCGAGAGAAGAAAGTGCCTTTTGCAAGCGCAATAGCTGAAGCCACCAGTTTTATAATAATTTTTTGCATTTATTTGTTGATTAGCTCAGAAATGAAGACGGGCGTAACATGTAACGCACAGCCATTCTCTTTTCTCGTACTTCTCAGCTCCACCGGTCTCGTTTCTCTCCTCGCTTGCTGCTTTGGTTTTGCTCAGAGGGCCAAAAGTCCTCTTTTTTCGGAAAATCCTGTTTGAACCCGGGAAGCGGGAGCATGCTACAAACTTGAAGCCTGCAAATTTCACAAACAGTTGCAGCGTTACAGTTAGCTACACATAAGCTACTTAACGTATGCTCTCTGAAATCATTGTTTTTTCCAGGACCAATATATTTTGCTACTCAAAACAATTTCAAGGTAACTTGCATTGTAGAAGGAGTGGTCTCTCTCCTTGTTGCATGTTTGTAGATGTTCAAGTTGTTGCGTGTCAGATGTTGTTGCGTGGTTGTCGAGTTACGCACGTCCTACACTTTTCAAATTCATTTCATTTATTTTAATCACCCGAAAAAGAAATAATAAAGGATATCAGAGAATGCGAGTGTTCACGTAATTCGTGTTTCTTTGTGCCATGGTTGAGTCCTCAATTTGTCTGAAATGCACCTGGTGGCTTAGCAGTCATGCAGTTGAACTCAACTGTTGAAACTGCGTGATGGTTTCCACGTGCTATTAAAAGAACGCTTGTATGGAATTATGTGCATGAGAGACGTTAAAATTAGAAAAGTCTGCAGCTGCGTCACTGGCGGAAGGAACAGGGGCGGGGGAAAACAGAAAGGACAAAGGGTTGGTGGCCTGAATTTTATTAATGTTTGCAAGTTAATGCTGGTACTGTAACTCTTCTGTGCAAAAAGGGCCAAAAAGGCTAAACGCTTTTACGAGCGAGCACACAAAGGGTTGATGTTACAAAACATAAAACAGTTCTTTTTCTCTCTTTCACGATGTTTTTTGAAAGTCGATAATATGCAGCCTAGAAGTAAAGATTAGAGCATTGAGCTACACGCTGCAGCCATGCTGGCATGAAGTTGCATCGTAAGTGGAAATGCTAGGCGGTTCTTTCGCGAGTATTTATCGAAACATGAAAATATTAAGTTTTTGGATTTGGATATTTTGGAACTGGGGATGGCGACCTCAAATTCTTAGCAGCCTAACTTTCATAGTTTGCAGTTGAGCCATTCCGGAAAATAAATAGTCAAATACTCGCAAAAAATGTGTAATTTATTTGGCTGAATTCGGACTTTAGGTCAATGTCGAAACACAGATCAATCTAATCGTTGTTCGTTATATCCCTGGCCTCGCACAGTGCTGGTGAATTTTTCTTTAAATTTTTAAGTTTATTTTTCTTTTTTCTTGGTCATGAAGTTATGGAAAGTGTTGAACTGTAACGGCGTTCAAAAATGAGGCATCGAACGATATGAATTTATTTTTCGGCTTCTGGCCTTGTAGTCAAGAGCTTTCCTCTCCACCTCGCTCACTCAAATTTTTTGCTTCATCCTTTTTGCTTCTTCAGTTTTAATCCGAATTTAGATCCAGGGTCAAAGACAAGAGCACAGAGCGACCTGAGAGTTCATTTCAGTCCTACGAGGTACCGTGCGGTCGAGGACTTTGCTGAGAAAATTTCAATGTCCCGGGCTTTGCAGTTATAGAGTAGAAGTATGTGAATACACAGAGCTTTGCAAATACGGCCATACGCATTTACTGGAGTAACGTGTTCCCGTTGTTTATATTTTTCCATTTTTCCCCGTAGTTCATGCAGCAACACAGGATGCACAGCTTACAACTTAACCGCATTTTATGCTTTTCGTTGCCTCTTGTTTCCAAATCTTTTGCCCTATCTCACTTCCCCGTCCTGCTAAGACATCGATTACTCCTGCACAGATGACGCTACTGTGTATTTTACATTGCACATGAGTTTCCGTCGGTTCATGATTAGCACACTGTAAAACAGCACGTCAAGCATGCATTTAATGGTGACAGTTTTTGGCCTAATATTTGTAAATCACATAGCGCGATGCAACAGCAAGTCCCCATCTGCAGTGATCATGGCCTGTAGCAAAAGTTTGGGGAGTAAAGTAGTAAAAATGTGTTTGTCCACAAATTTGATCCCCAGTGTTTCACTAACAGTAGACAAATTTTGTAAATGTCCAGAAACCTCTGTAAAGTTTGAGTTTTGTGGCATGAATGGCATATTTGTTGGATTGTTCGGAGACTGCATCTTGATTTCAGATACAAGTGACAAGTCTATGCATGTGCATCTCGATGAGTGGCACCGTGGCCTTATGTTGCTTCTTTGCTCCTAAAGTGTACATTGTCATATGGCAGCCGTATAAAAATGTTCGGATGCGACAGTCAGCTGTTGGTCGACTTGTGAATCAGCAAATGAGATTTATAAGGTACGTATCATACAACTCTCACTACCTATCCCCTCAATCTTTTCATTATTTCCGGTCTCAAAATTCTCTCAGTTTTGCAATGAATCTCGATTCATGCATGAAATGCTAATGCCTCTCGTGGGATTCGTAACAAGACACTTTTTGAAAGGTTTCGTGCTTCATTCCGAAACTCAGTGATTTCTTCCCATTCTATCCCTCAGAGCATGCCAGGAGTAGTTCCAGATTTAATACTTATGTTTGCCTTTCCTCACTCTTTCTTATCCCCCACCGCCCAAAATTGTTCCCATTCATGGGAAAAAACATCCAAACCAAGGGTTACAACGATAATGACCGGATTTGCGCAAGAGTACTGTTGGAGATAGTCGGACTGCTTAAGGGAGCTGGCAGAGTCTTCGCATCTCATTTGAAATTTGGCTCTCTAGTATGTTTATCCTTTTTCATGCATTTGTTCTTCCCTTTGCTAGAGGCAGCAGACTGATTGCGAGCAGCCCAATTTCACATTTGTCACAGCTATTACGTCATATTTTGTGCATGCGTCGTGAAACCGCCGAGGGATTGAACTTGTTAAGGATAACCCTTAAAATACAGGCTATTACGCGGACATGCAACTTTTGATGTATTACTTTCAGTCAAATAGCTACTACGACAGCTCCGGATAGCACAACTGTTTGCACATCTGTAGGTGAATACTCGTCATACCCGCACATCGCATCATGTAGCATTAGTAAGTTATTTCACTTCCCTCTTTTTCCCAGTATTTCACTTATTTTTGGCTTCAAAAGTCATTACACGAGTAGCTTGAACTATTGCATGCTTTAAAGAGTATTAAAAATAGGTCTTTGCAAGTAAAATGCAAAATGGCACCGTCATATCTGTCTATTTGTGACGGCTTTATCCTTATCGGCGAATTAGGGAACTACGAAGTACTAATTTTAGCTACGAAGCTCTAGCTCCTCTACGAACACTATTTCACAACGACGCTTACCGACGCCGCTTGGCACTTTGTCAGGGGTGTTGGGTAACGCTATCCAACGCATTACTGCTGAAACGCATGATTGGAGGAAGGGGGAGTTGCTCGGTGGAGGGGTTGGTGTGGTTGAGGGGTGGCGGTGAGTGAGTGCTTAGATGCTGTCATGGGGGCACGATTTTACGGCAGGATAGAGAAGGGGAACAAGGGTAATAATTAGGAGTTTGGGGCAAGAATTGGAGACAGTACAAAAGAAGAAGGAACAACACAGCAGCACAAAGATGATTGGCCAACGCACGGGCTGCCCGTGCGAAGACGCGTTTTTTGCATAGTTTCCCGCAGTTTTTGTCGCTACCGGCGTCGCTTCTTTCGGCAAATGCTTCTAGCTGAAAAAATTAAGGCTGGCCGCCAGAACTGGCATTTGAAACAGCCCATTAAAATTTCAGCTTTCTAGCTTTCCTGCCTCCTGAGTTATCACCTACTTGGGCAAGGAACATCCTGCTAAGATTTCAGCGTTCTAGCTTCTCAGATCCCCGAATTATGAATTTACCTGAAAGAAATTTTGGTGGAACCGTACGCGGGTACCATGCTTACTAGGGGGATGAGTTTGAGTACATTAACACCTAC